ATCAGAGAGCAGTCTGAAGTGCTTTATGGTAAGCAAAGTGGAAAAAGAGAATTGCCCTAAGCAGTTGGATTTAGTCTGTAAAGAATGGGATGACTGAACAGTATGAAGCTATTAAGTAAGAACACAGGTTTGGTGTTTTCTATTATTCGATTCTTAAAAATATTGCAGCAGTCCTTCTCTCTGCTACAATCTCTCAAGGAACCAAACCTGCCTTTTACCAGAATAACAGCATCAATTCAGAGCCTCTCCTCCAACCTTAAGGGGAGGTGGGGAAGGAACTTGGGGAGTAACTCTGTATTCTTTCATACAGACCTTTTTGCACCTTTAATGCAGACCCTTCTCGCACTCAGCTGGAGAAATGTTTGTGCACTGAAGGCAAGACTGATGTATTTCTTTCAGATTTCACGCACTGGTAATCAGATAAAGAGAAGGCAGAGAATAAAACCCTACAAATTCATTGCAGTGAGCACTGCAAACATCTGATTTTTTTTTCCCCCCCTTCTCAGGATTATAAACCTAACAGTTACAAGAACATCCCTTCCAGCTAATTTACTCCATGGATAAACTGGCAGCTAAGTGAAGCACATAACATGCCTGTTCTCAAAGTAATCAGAAAACAGCGGGTCAATAATGGAACAGTTAGCAACTATCACTCTGGGGCCCTGACACATAGCAGATGAAATGATTATATTTGCCTCAGTCATTTGCTGTAGAAGAATTAATGTCACTTTGATAAATCAAAGGAATTATTGTCTCCTGTTTTCTGTTCCATAACTGCTTTTCATAAATATTCTGAATGTATGTCCTATTCTTAACTCAATTTGAACCACTGGCTGGTTGAAATAAGTCTCCACCTTCATGCAGAAAGTAAAACATGCTATCTGGAGTCTCCATCCTGCTTTATACACTTACAAATGTGATACCAACAGCTGTCAAAGATTATGTATTTTTTCTCTTTTCTCCTTCCTCTCTTTCTCCAAAATCTCAACTGTCCCTTGAAGAGGTGAAGTAGAGACAATGTCCTGATGCAGGCTCAGAAACGTAGTTCTGTGCATTCCTTTTTCATTTGGTTTGCAACACAGACAAGTTTACTTCTAATTATTTCTAATTCTACTTCTAATTATTTCTAATCTAGCTGGACAACCTCAGAGAGGAGTAAGCATCTCCTCAGTCATTCTTCACATGTGTAAAAACAGAATATTTCACACACTTCTGAAAAGATACATATGTAAATACTACAACAAATTGGTACTTAAGGGTTTGTTGAGAGCTCCAGGACATCTTTTCTCCAGCTTCCAAGTGGAAAAGGTTTCATCCCAAAACTGGCAAAGGAATTCTTCCTAAAAGCCAGCAGCAGGAATCACCTGCTCCCCAAAGCAAGTATTGCTTGGCTGCAGGCACTCACCAGTACCAGGGAAACTCCCAATCACCCAGCATCCCTAGGAGTTACGTCTATAGGGCTTCCTTCCAGCTGTACCTCAAATGCAGCATCCCAAATTTATAAGCTTACCATCAGCTTAATTACAACATTAAATGAACTTGTAAGTAAAAATTGTTTTAGCAAGCTGTCTCACCAGGTTTTTAATTACAAGATCAAAATCAGAGCAATTTAAATGGAAGTTTAAGAGCCAGAAAAAATAGGTTTTCTCACTTACTGTCCTTAAGCAATGCCCCACCACTATAACAACCATTTGAACATGAAGGCACTATCTGATTCACTAAGTTCATTCAAACCTGGATGAATTCCTTTGGCTTCAGCTTCAGAAGCATTTTTTCTACTTCCTCCTCTTTCAATAGCAGCAGGAAGCTTGCAAGGATTAGCTCAAGGTTCGATGCAGCACTTCTTGGGACATAACCCATGTCACACCTTGCTGACAACAAGACTCTTGTACTGCAGTTCTAATGAGATCCTCCTCCACAAAGAGCATGGTATACGTTTTAAAATGCTTTCCTGGCATTACAGTATTTCACATATTGCACAACAGATAGCATCATTTGTACAGTCATTCTGTAAAGCTCATTATCTTTTTTATATTATTAATACAGCTGTCAAGACCCAATTGTCAACCAGGCAGCCGTATCTTGCTGCTCGCTGTCAGATTTAGAGATCTGCTGTGGAACAGACATCATTCTTCAAAGTGGATGCCCTTAAAACTAGACCCAGACTATAGAGTACAAACACAATGAACACCGACTCCCATTTCTGTTGCCATGCATCCAATCACTCCTGTTTTTTCACACTACCATTCCAGAGAACAGCAATCCAGAAATTATTTTCAATGCTTGCTGAACTTTTTTCCCTATGTGATCTTGCAATTTCAGGTCCTTGAGAAACTCATATTTATGAAATCTGTACTGTTTCACAGGCAAAACAGATTAGTCTGTACAGAACCACTGAATTCTAGTGTATGTGTTTGATGTTGCCCAGTTTCTGAACAGCCTTTGTATTTTACAGTTGATATGGCTAAGCCTTGCAGTCTGCCATTCACATCCTCTTCTGAAGCACTAATGCACACAGAAATGACACCACGGAGCCTTTAAGATCCTTGCTCTTCATTTGGAGTGGAGATTCACAAAGGCAGGATTTCTCCTGTCTAGCAGTATGCACACCTTGGTAAGGTTCTGCTTCATTTATGCAATTTTTGGTTGATTTGTCAATGTGTCAATTTTTTTTTTGGTTTCAGAATCAGTTTTCCTCGAACTGAGGCTCAGTTTAATTCCCCTGATGTCCCACAGACCCTAGAGGGAATTTTCCATTTTTTAGAAAAAAGTGTTTCCAAGCTGTCTTACACATTCTGGGGAAGATCTGTGCTGGTTAATGCTTTCTGTAAGAATTCTCTAATAAATACAGATACAAATTTAGATAAATATTCTAGGCAAGCATTGGAATTATTCCCAGTGGTATATTTAACATTTCTGTTCTAGAATCAATAGTTTGAGGCAAAGAATTTTCTCTATTTTCCCCTGAATACCATTTCACAGTCAACTGGCTTTAGATTTCCGACTGAAATGCAGTTTCCTTAATCTCATCCCAATATTTTTAGCTTTATTTCCTTGCACCACTGTGAGCAATTATGGGAACTGGGGAATTCCCACAGGCAGCTGCACTGTCACTAAGGGACTGTTCTGCCTACCTTCTGCATTTGTAGACCCATTTGATTTTTCTTTAGAACACTATTCAGCTCTGCTCTTGAAACACCCCTTCAGCTGGATCTGCTCTACACACCCTCCCTGCAACGTGTCCCAGGTGTTGTCTCATCAGATTAGGAAAAGATCACTTCCTGACTCAAATTCTTTGAGAATGACGTTGCTCTTTGGTTTCGACAATGTGCTGCATTTTAAATTCAGACATAAGATTGTTTGCTTCAATCATTCCTACCTGTCTCTTTCAGAGAAAGAAAAAAGTACTCAACAGAGTAACAGGTATCTATGTGACACAGCCTGTCATCTTCACAGTGCAAGATTAAGCTGCTATCAAAGGTTTAATCACTTAATCACTGTAAACTGCAACAGGCCTCACTGAAAACGTCTTCAGACAAAAATAGCTGAGTCTGTCCCTTTTTTGCTATTACCCATTATGGTACATGTGAAATTTGTTTATTGTAAGAAACTCACGTGAAACAAAGCAGAATACATAATAAATGCAAGTGCTGCTCCGCAAGTAATGCCTCCTGCTATGCTGGCCCACAGGGGTGGATGTTGGTGGGATGGCCAGACCTTTCCATCAGTATGCCATTATGTGACAGATGGCAGCAAAGGGGCACTCTGACAACTGTGTACGACACAGGAGTGTGTTCAAAGCAAAGGGGTGGAACTGAATTCCTCCATGTGGAAAAAACGGCACCCCTGACATCCATCAACACTTGCTGAATGTCGATGGAGACCAAGCAGTGGACGTGAGCACAGCAAGGGGCAGTGGTGCTTTTCAGCTGTGGTGACACTGATATGAACAAGCCACATTCTGGATGGCCACGCACAGCTGTCACACCAGAAGATGAAGAGCATCTTGATTAGCCTATCTGTGTGAATCAGCTAATGGTGGTGACTCTTGGAAAAACAGTGTTTTATAGCTGAGAATTTGCTCTATCAAACAGTGTTACTGTACTCCTTGCTTCATGGAAACAATAGGAGGCATTGCTTTTGGAGCAACCTACATACATAAAGTAAATGTTAAAAAGTACAGTTCATCTACACAAGTTTTCAAACCTAGCTTACATTTATAACTCTAAGCCTCCAGCTTGCAGAGCTAAGCCTCCAAAATCCCTTTATTTTGACTCCTTCACATTTATCGCATCAAAATCTCTCCTCTTTATTCTTCACAGGTTTTTAAGCATTGCACAAACACTTTGAACACTGCAGAATTAAAAACCAAACGGATTATATTTTATAACAGAAACTCAATCTAAATCAAGGCAGCTGTTTCTGAAGTGCCCTTTCACCTGGAATTTCCTCACCATCTCCCCCTCATCTTCCAAAGGCTGTTGAAAACTCACTGTATATTATTGAGGTCAATTCATTTAGAATAATTTTTCTCATGATTTATGTGCTATATTTTGCCTCAGCTCTGCTAGAGAGAATAACTGTTGGGTTTTTTTTTCTGGGCACCAGGCCCAGTTTATTCTTAATTTTGTCTACAGATCATACAGTTTCCCAGATACCATACCAGAGATGAGCATTTTATAAGTTAATAAAACAATAAATAAAACAAAGTATGTTCTCATATCTCCAAGTAATAACTAGAACTTTAAAAGCCTTGCCTTGTTTTATAGAAGATCTTCTATGTTACAGTTACTGCATAAAAATATACCATATTTCAAATGCTAAAAAAAAGTCAATAATTTATAAGGAATAGTTCAAATGTAACATTTCATTTCTGAAACAAACAGTTCCACTATTGAAGGCATTACATATTAGTTGTATTAAGAAGGAGGAATCAGTTTGGCTCCCAGTACTATAGTTCACATAGTTACACTATTTTTAGAATAAAAGGAAAAACTTACTGTGTATTCTGATTTCCAGTCGTCCATTTGTAAAAAAAAAAAGATGAGGGAAAAGAAAAAAAAGAAATGTGAAATAAAACACTGAAGCAAGACCCTTGCAGCAAACACACATTAATCATTAAAGTAATTCTGTCTGACAATCTGCTGATTTATGTGTTACTAAAGAGTATGGGACAACAGGGGGTACAAGTCAGCACAGTCTAAGTGCACGATGCTTTATTTGCAAGGAGGGTATCGCATAGATTACAGCTTTCCCTTAGCCATAGTCTGTAATCTGTGTCTATCACTCAGCATGTGATCTGGAGCTTCTGAAGGTAAGATGAACTACTCAAAAACAAGTTAGTAATCATTTTATTCCTTACCTGTGATTGTATAAGGATAATAATTCCAAGCCTTCTCTGTAACATAAAATATTTTCGGAACAACTGCTCTAGCCCAGCTAGGTAGTTTGCTGAAAATAAGAAAATGCATAATTAGAATACGTTATGCATAATTAGAATACGTTATGATCCGTATGTATGTATGTAGTACAGGTGCTTTCAAACATGCTCATACTGTGACAAGTGTTTCACAGGATGCAGTAATACTCAGACTTCCCAATATTTTTATCTCACAAACACACGTTGTTTCAGATTTCTCCACAGATGTATACGAAACCAAGACAGCTTGTTCCCCTCCAGATCGAGCAATATGGCACCAGTGCAGTGATCTCTGATCAGACACAAGCTGAGGTTTCAGTGCAGTTTCAAGAACTGAGCCTCGCAGCTCAGGCCATGGAGGATGCAGCAGGTGAGCCCTGCAAGGTGTCTGTGCCACAGAATCCTCAGCCACAGGGAGGCACCCTCTAATAAGAGCTCATGAGCAAGTCTGTGGTGCTGGTCCACTTCCATCTTGACTCTGTCCTTTGTTCTTAGAGGCGGTTTCCTATTTCCCCTTATCCCCTGCTGGCACACAAACCCTTACCGTCAGAGTACCAAATGAGTGATGAACAGCCACACATTTTAAGAAGAAGCAAAGTTCAAGCAAATCCACCATCCAAGCCTTTCCTAACGACATCAATTACAGTCACTTGAGCTGTCAGTAACAGAAATGTAGTGCTGGCCACTCAGACAAACATGGACTTTCTGTGAGCACAAACTGCACCGTACTTCAGGGACTCAAACTGTGCTGCCTGTCTGTGTGTCAGAAGATCACTCAGGCTACGGCTGAATCTTTACTGAAGTTTTAATTCCCAGCTATAAATGTTTGAAAGTTATTTAAGCATAACTACATGCGTGAAAGTAAAAAGACTTCCTGTATTAGCAAACTTCAGGGGAAAATAAGTTTGGATCATTAAGGTTTGTTTAACCATGACCTAACTATGCATAAATATTGAATTTGCCCAGAGGCAAAATGCAGACATTGGCACGTTACCTGAAGATTCAAAGTCAAGTGCATTGACTTTTGCTCTTTGATGACATTGCTCTAAAACAGGTTTTCTTTACACAAATCTCTCTTATGTACAATCTTTTACGCACCTTTTTACATATGTAAGAATTAAAATATTAGCAGGCAATAAAACACAAATGAAAATAACACATAAATCTTTCCAAGAAACCATCACTGAAAATAACAAGTTTAAGACTATTGTGGCAGCTACAACCACTATGGCAACAGAAGCTTTTGTCTGTGAAATAACGACATTTTAAGTGAGGCTGCAGCATGCTGCTTGCTTGAGCAACAGTGGAGGCATAAGTACACAAAATATTTCTAAATCTATGTAGATACTGATGATAGTATCTCACTGATTGTTCATGAGCATTTGGCAAAGCACAGAGGACAACCGCTCACGACTGTGTGAAGCTGTCCAAACCCATCTGTTGCTGGAACCTTCATAGTGATATTCCTTCACAATTCACTGCAAGTTGGTGTAAGAAGGTGTCCTGTGATGGATGGCTGCAAAAACAAATCAGATCACCTGAAATATAATGGAGGAAACTTTGAAGACCGTCTGCTTGAAAACCATGTGTGCAGCAGAATAAGAATAGAGTATCTGGACCAAGATCAGCTGTGCAAGCAGGAAAGGACAACTGTTCCCAATTCAAAGCCCAAACCACCAGGCCAACAAACAGTTTCTTCACCTGTCTACTCCTGAATTTAACCATGACAAGGAAGTAATTTAACTTAGACCAATGACAAGAAAACAGAAGAATGGAATGAAGGAAATCAAAGCTTATTAATACAAGAAAGCAAGGAGGAAAAATTATGGCTAACAATACCTAATATATGTGCTTCTTTACTCAATTGGACAAGGGACAGGTCTGGCAAATGTGTTACATAGCTACTGGATCTCCATGAGATCTGCACTGTTCAAGTACTCAACACACAAAGGTTTCGTACAGTTTTCAATATCCAGTTCAATGTAGCAGCAGGAAAGGTACAACAGCTTGTGTTTTCCATTGGCCTTGTTTCCCAGGAAGTACATCTGGCTGGATTTCTGAAGCACAAAGGCAACTTGTACCGGGAAGTGCAGTAACACCTTATCTCTGAGCACACTGTGCTGGTCTTGTAGGAAGTGAGACTTTCTGCAGTGGGAGATTCCAAAAATGGCTATTTAAATAGCACAGCTTCCTGCAGTAACCACGATGGATGTTGCTGCAGAAGCAGCAGTGTGGTTATTTTTAGTCATACAAGTAGTTCTTGTCTACAGAGGCGTTATAGAAATAGGAATACACTAAAAGCACTTGATATAAGCTCCTATACTGTGTTTCAGGAGGTGACTGAATTTCAGTAGTATAAATTCAAGCTAAAAAAAAGGTTCTTGTAAAGTAGTCCTGACTTCAAACATCCACTGTAACCTTAGCTGAACTTCAATTTCCTGAAGGGAAGTGAATCTTCTTTGTCAGTGGTCATACCCATCTTTGGGCAGGCGATCCTCTGGTCCACTGCCTGTGCTAACAGAAGCAATGTGCTTCCCAAGTATGTCCTACACATGCTTTCTAGGACAGATGTAGTTATTATGAATTACAATCAAGTGATGATTCTGAACATGACCTTTATTGCATAATGCCTTATCTCTTCTTAACATGGAGGAAAGAAATAACCAGAAACAAACAAACAAAATCTGGGAGCTCTACAGTAGGAACAAATGTATTGATTTTTACCAAGTCTTATATCCAGCCTGTGAGAAAGAAGAATTACAGTCACATTAATATTGAATGTTGGCAAAATACATTGTTTGATTGCATGTGTGTGAGCATGTAACATCACTGGTGATTCAATTTTGCCTGAGTGAAGGTTAGATATGTCAGGATTGCAAAGGTGGAATAATCTGTAATATAAAAACAATAGCTGTGCTGTTTCTGTGCTTGCTATGAAAGAGCATAAAAGTGTAATAAAAGACAAGGCAGGCCAAGGGAATAGAAGAACATCAGAAAAACAGCAATATTCAATTAGATCAGAGGTAATAAGAAGATCGAGCAATATATTTCATAGGTCACAAACACATGTATTTAAATATAAAAGCATCTCTAGCCTTTGAGTTTGGAGGTACTGACCTTCAGCAGTGTAATTTCACCATAGGAAGAGACATATTTCACTTTTTTGTCTGACAAGGACATTTCACTGCTAATTGTTATTGCTGCCCACGCTGAAAGAAGCAGATCTATTGCACTTGCCTGTTGAGATAGACACGTTTCTCTGTTAGCTGACCATTGCCGTGGTTTGGGTCCTCATAAGGCTCATTCTGCACCACTTCGACACCTTCACCTCGGTCACTCTGCTCATGGCTGTGCTTGCTTATCATGTACAATTGCCCAATTCTGTACTGCAAAGCAAAAATCAAGAACAACATACTCACTTTATGTAATATGAGTATTTGTAAGTCAAGGTCATACAATTATGTATCATTATGTACAAATTTAAGGTCATCTAAGGGATGAAAAACAGTATTTCGAAGCTTTATTCAGGCCTATGAGCCGAGTTCCTCCCATTATCTTATCAAATCCAGGGCTTCACTTACAGAAAAACACAAGAGCCACGTGCGTATGATAATCAGGAGAGAACTTTGTTTTTACAGTATATTTGTAAGTATTTAAGTTAAGAATAAATGAACAACTAATATGCTGCATTCAAGGTGTTTTAACTGGTGGGTGAACTCTATGGGCCCAGACTTCTCCTGTCATACCAACATGATGCCAACAGTGAAGACACACACACGGATTCAGCAGTTTCAGCTCTTTCCACAGAAAGAAGCAGACTTAGTACTTAGAAAAAGAAATTTGAGAAGAGTGATTTGGTGATATCATTAAAATAAACGACAGCACTTATCTTTTTTCATATAGACTCACAAGTTATTTAGGAAGCCAAAACCCAGGGGCTGCAATCACAGAGAAATAAATTACTGCACTGGCAATTGACTTCTTTTTTCCTTGCAGTACGTCTGCATCTACTGTAGGGCTTTTTCCTCCAGAGAAATCTAACAAAAAGTACATTCCTAAACTTTCATTAGCAAAGGTTTTTAGAGTAAGATTGTACTTTCCCATGCTTTCTCTGTCCTGAGATTTCACTCTTATTTAAGTCCCTTCCACATTCTTGAACGCACCACAGCTCTCACAAGAAACCATCTTTGGACCTGTTTGGTTTTATCCACTGGATCCATCACTCCTCCAAAGTAATTTATTTAAGGACATCTAATCACATCTACCACATCAATCACTTCCAACACGATGGACAATCCCTTAATGGCTGAGCTAGCACACACACAAAGCTGCCAGGTACACAAAGCTGCAGCGTAGGCAAAAGGTAACAGCCTGACCTCACTAACCTCCCTGAAATTCTCAGTTATTACAGTTATAAAACAGCAATCCTACTACATACTTTACAAGCTCCAAAATCCCAAACCAAAAGAGCAAAGTTAGAAAAAAACAGCCAAAACATGGAACGAGTTGTCAGTGAGATGGTCTTGCTAAAGAAAACAATACAGAATAGGGCAGGGGTGTTCCCTCAACGCACACTACAGCAACAGGGCAAATTACTGTACAGAAACATTCCTAAGACATTCACTAGAACAGCGATGCAGAATAACACTATTTGAACCATTGGATGCTGAGTTCTGTTCTCTGCCTGTATCTGCAGCTTCCTGATCTCTGGTGCCTCCTTCAGACAAAGTGCCCCCATTCAATAGATGAGCCCTAAAAATCATTTTCCTTGCTAATCATGTTATCATCATCTTTGGTCTCTACTGAATCTTCTTCTCTGTCTCATCACATTTAAACACTTTGTCCTAATCTTCGAGATTCTGAAGAGCTGTCGAATTCAAACATACACTTTAACAACTTCATGAAAAATTGCCTTCTCTGCTTCACTAATAATAAATGAATGCTCTGGTACACAGCCAAGGCAAAGTCTGTAGACGGAGCAAGCACTTCTGTTGGACAAGGCAGTAGTGTTGGAAAAATGAGAACTTTCAGACACATGAAGCTGTTCTTCAGCTCTGATATCAAAGCAGCATTCTTCAAAGCTAAACACAAAGAGGAAAAAATGCCCTGCTTTTTAATTAGATATGTATGAATTAGACCACCTGTGAGCAAAGGCACTGCCTGCACAGTGATAAGGATGGTAGAAAAGAGGAGAGGTGATAAAGTCGCTTATCTTCTAATGGAAAGAAAGAGATCAGTAATTTGTAGCCTGTGGAACATGAAAAGGTTAGTTGAGGAAAGGGGGAGAGCAATTACAGTTTGCCATAAAACCAGAATCACTACTGAGATCTCTGATCAGGTTTCTGCTATTTTGACTTTTATTTACCACGGACATCTCTGGAAAGTGTTTCACAATTGCACATGACATTGCATGCTAAGATTTCCTACTTCCACGCAATCTTGGCAATTTTGCTCTCAGCTGAACACAAATGTCTCCGTTTCTGTGGCAAACACTGGCTCAGAAACATCAAGACAAACGCGTGTTCATGCTGACAATGAATAACAGTGCTGTACCAAGGCATTCACTAGCTGCAGTATCACAAACCAGAGATACTGACATATAACAACACGTTTAGCTAATAGAGATTGATATTATTTCACAGATACACGCTACCACGAACTGCAAGCAGAACAGCACATCACCAAGGCTATAAGGCACCCCGCTCAGCACGTGGGTAAGGATGGCTGAGCTGCACTGTTCAGCAGATAATCTGCAGCACAGAGAAATCACTTCAGACACTGCAGTCAGTGCTTACAGAAAGTTCTGCTTCTCTGATGACACTCACAGTCACATGCGCTCCAGTGTTAAGATTTCTGAGATTGAACAGAACAGAACTTTGCCTCATCTGAGCGCTTCCCAGCTCAGTGCTTTTACCACAGGACACACCTGTAAAGGTGTTCAATTCTCAACAGTAATTACTTAAGTCAAAGTGGTTTCTCTTATCACACTCACTGACTATAAATCCTTCAATCCTTCATACTATTGTTACTATTAGACATCACTCTGCCTTTTGAAATGGGCACTGCCTAATGCATTCTCAGGTTAATGCAGAGCCCTCACATGCAGGCAATTATAACACTGTGCCTTCTGATCCCCATGCTTGTGTAGATGATGATTCACAGCTATTAAGAATAATTTAAGAAAGCCTTTTCCACGGCACGAGCTGCAGGTTCTGACAGGGTGATTTGTCTTCCTTGCTGTTAACATTCCTCGGTTGGTTTTAACTAGCACACAGGAACACACACTGTAAGCATCTGATGTTCCACGTACCGGCAGACCTGCGCTGCTCCTGCCAGATCTACTTTTCAAATTCTTTTTTCTTTTTAACTGCCAGTTTCTCTCCCAGATTTCTAGCTTGCACAGGTATTACTTTGCAAACCAAAGAAGTGAGCATCTTGCCTTACAGCGTGTGCTAACCACCACCTCAAGGCTTTCCTGAAGGGCACTGCTACAGAAGGGTATCAGTCAGACAACCACTGCAGCGCTGGACACCTTCCTGCCACCTTTTGCCTACAGAGCCATGAGCAGGAAGAACAACCCTCACTGCAAACAGCAACTTCCAAGTCTTTCCTACACAGCATAACTTACCAATGTGAAAGAAGCAGCTGATATTTCTAAAATAGTGGTTTTCCTGCAAAAATAACTACATTGTAGGCTAGGGTCATGTGAAAAGAGTCCTACTGGTTTTGATTCCTGGGAAAATCTGGAAAGAAAGCATGAGTAATAAACAGAGAGCACAGAAGGGGAGAGTTTTTATAGGCCAGGGCTGTACCTTGCAGAGAGAGCCTGGCTGCTGCTGGGATGGTACCCAATCTCACTGAGGCTGCCTCTGCAGAGTGCACACCAAACGTACACATTATTTGACTGCTAATCTCTGCACCACAGCACTCAGAGCACCTTGCACCACATTCACTTTGCCGTGTAGAAATATCCTATGTGCAAAGAAGTTTCTACCAGCTGTTGTTTTAAAATGGCTGTCCTGAGGCACTAATACAAGACTGTAGTTTCAGCAGCAACAGCAGCTTTCTAAAATATGACTGTCAAGAGCAAATCCATTTCAGCTATGCAAAGGAATCGAGCTTCTGAAACAGCAGCCGAATTGATTTGTTACAAGGAACAGCACCCAAACTCTACACAACCAGCTTCATCTAGCAGCAGACATAGAGAGGTGTACCAGTTAACGAGTGCCATGGTCCCAAGCATCTTTTGATTGAAACACAGCAGAGGTGCATTCTGTCCTGAGCATCAGCTAAAGCCAGTGCCTGAAATAAACAGTGTGGCACTACAGAAAAATCCAGCAATGAGAAAAATATGCATCTAAGAAAAAGAAACCACATGAGAAACCAAGACATTGATCATTAACCAGCAGTGGCAGAAATGAGATACAAGAGAACTAACACTACATGTCAAAGGGTTATTCTGTCTATAGGTGTTACAGATGTGATGTGATGCAACGTACAGCTTGCTAGAGCCTCCAATCAAGGCAGGTCAGTTAGTGGGGTAAATGCTAGTAATAAACAGACTGGTTCAAGTTTAATGTTGAGCTTTAAATCTCCCCTTCCGCTAATTCCTGCATGCATCTATGACTCGTGATGCACTGCACATCTGCTGACTTGCATCAGCAGCATTTTTTAGTATTGCCCAAATTCATGGGAACGTGTTTTTGTAGCCTCACAAATAAGCAGTTGCAGCAGGAACAGTTGATTCTCACATGCTGTAAAATGCAATTCGTATTGCTTTCATGCTTGCATTGCCTTCCTCAAGGAAGAAATTTCTTCTGCAAATCACTTCATCTGTTAAAATTCCTGTGAACTGGAATAGATGTTCAGCACAACAGTACCCCTCCTCCAGAACTTTCATCTAAAGAAACCTGATCTACATTACATTTGAAGTGCCTTGGCACATTAATGGCTTACATCCTATGTGAGTGACGCCGCAATTAATAGAAGCAGATTAATAGTAATCCACAATTAATACACATACAACACTGCTCATTTCAATTTTCACTGAAATGGAAATTAAATTGCAAATTTTCAGCTTACGTGCAAATACATTTTGCTAAATATAGCTCTTGTCCTGTTAAGATGCTAGCAATTTTGTTTCTACACCAGCTGTGCTATTGAAAAAAAAACCAGCTGTTTTCACCCTGAATGTACAAGCTCATATATTAAAGAAACAGTTCTTATTAACAATATTTTGCAGCGAGTCAGCTGGTTAAATCTTGCAACTGTTTACGTGGCGTGCTTCTTACATAATTGCCAATACCACCTCATTATCTGGGTCTACAAATGGATATATATTTCCTGAAAGAGATGCACATGATTTTCTTGAGCCTGTTCCCAAAAGCAGAAACACGAGCTGGAAGGGACTTCTCATGGCCACTCACAGCCCACCCGCCAGTAATGCACACTGAAACTCTGCTCCCATCTGTGGGTTCCTATTCCTGAACACACACCTTTAAGTCACATGCAGCTCACCCCTTTAATTGCAGCTTGTTGCTTTCCAGGCACAATTCACTTTGCAAAAGTGGTTCGATGGCTATCAAATACTACTGATGTATTTTCTAAGCCAATATGACAGCACACTGTATTTGTTAACTACAATTCATCCACGAGGTTGCAGTCAACCTGAAGGCTGAAGTTCAAAGAGCTGTTTGTCAACCCTCTTTAAATTTTAACTCAGAATGTGGTAAAATGAACTCAAACTTGCAACATAATTTCTGCAGTTTCTTTTGGTAAGCAAGGCTTATTTCCTGCTATTCCAGGAGAAAACTCTTATTTCAGATGTTCCAGGGAAACTCGGAATGAAAAGCAGAGGGTTCCTTCTCCACCCATCCATCCCTCGCTCCCCCCAGCAGTGCACACAGCCCTGCACACACAGCAACACCGCCACATTTCTCTCACTGTGCAAAGAAACATTCCCTGTGAATTAGGGGCAGTGACCAAGCAACTTGCTTTATTAATCCAGACAACAAGAACTCAGTGGTATGTCATTGAAATAAATAAGATTTAGGGGAAAAAAAAGAATCTAAACTTACATGCCATACATATTAAATGCACTTTTCTTGCCTAGAGGAAGGCCAAGAGCAGCCAAGTGGTGCAGTGCCTCAAAAAGCTGTGGCTGCAAAGCTGAGTCTGCACAGAACAAGCAGCTCCTCTGTAGAGGGATTTGTGTTCATTGTTTGATTCAGCTCAGTTTGAGTCGGGATGTATTTGACCCCTCCTGAATGTGATGCTGCGGTTGGTTTGGCTGTGACACAGGTGGATGGAACACACGTGCAACTCTTCCCATGCAATGGAAATTATTTTTCACTTTTTGCATGGCTAATGGCACTCAACTGATGTTTAAGTAGAACTTCTTTCCCCTCAGGTTACTTTTCTCTAATTACTCTTCAGTAATTACTCTTTTTTTTTTGTCTCTTACAAAATCTCTCTCGTTCTGAAAACATCAACTTTCAAGTACAGAGAATGTGACGCTTTCAGGAAAAAAAATCCATGTACATTTTGCTTTTAGGAGCACTGAAGAAACTACAAAGGATTCAATAAAATTTGTCACAATCAGAGGGGAGCAATTCTGTAATTACGTTTTTTTGGTAGGCAAATTCCTTAGGAGGCATTTTGGGCAATATAATTCTGCCTGTAAGGATAGAAAAAGGGAGAACTTCCTTAGGAGACACAACATAAAATGAAAAAAGGCCCTCAGTATCAGAATTAAGACTCACCATTTACAAGCTAAAGGATCAGACAAATTCAACCTGCTTTCTGATATCGTTCTCAAATGAAAATGAAGCAGATAACTTTTCTTTGCTACTTCCAATGAAACAAAAGTAGATTCACAGTCAAAAGGAACAAATACTTCAATGTATGTTCTGATCTCATGAAATGAAATCAACTTCAACTTGATTTTTGAAATGCACAGTTTGATGCCTGCCTTCCCATGATAAACAGTAGAATGGAGTGTCTTCAGACAGCCCAAGCTCCTGCACAGGACATTCCTCACCTGCATCTACCTTACAGATTAGGGTGATGAGGATATTAAGGTCAATGAAGAGGACACACATATAAGCAAGAGTTGAATTATTTAAGAAGGAAATGAAGACATACTTAACTCCCCATTCCTGGACTTACAAGACAAACAAAGACTGCAGATTAATTTATAATTATTTAACTAAAAAAAACCCTTATTAGTAGAATATCATCCCCCAAAACATTGTAAGGATGAAATAAAGTATACAGATACATACAGAATTATAAACATTTCTTTCTAAGGAATTCACTCCCACTGGCAGAAGTGACAACGCTTATGCTAAAACGCGATATAACTTCTGGAACCACAGAGCAAATCAATGCACCTATGGCCCAAGAGATTCTTGCTCTCCTGCTGAACAGCAGCAGTCCCTGAGCTGAGCCGGGCTGCACGGCCTTCTGCAGCAGAACACAAGTAACAGAGAAGGCCATTTCTCAGTAGCTGTAAATGGGAATGGCTTTCTGTCACACAAAAAAAGCAGTGTTTGAACTTCTGTTACAGAGAAGTTTCCAAAAACACCACTTAAGCAGGAAATGGTGCCCTTGAACAGAGCAGAAAGACCCTCCTGTTGGCTGCAGAGGCTTTGGACCAAAGTGAGCAAACAGCTCTCTGCACTCATACACCAAAGTTAACCACTTCCTCAGCAGTTAGAGCCAGTGGCGTCATTCAGAACATGTCCTTTGGGGTAATAGCTCATGGTGTATGGCAGCACCAGGGAATAAAGCTGAAAACTACAACAAGGCGGGTAACTAGATAAGATCTCTTTGTAATGAACCTGGCTTTCTTCCTGCAGTGCTTCAGACCACAGCAGGGCCACGTGACTGCTGCTTATGCAAGTTCCCAGGCTGTAAACCTGCTAACAAAGACAGAGTTCGAAATAGCAAACATGGAGCTCAAAGCCTTCATCATACATGGCAGAAAGCGCTGGTTTGACACAGAAGTCAGAACATTAACCTGCACTGTTTTGTGTAGACTTCAATCTTTAATATAAGAAAAAAAAAAAACAAAAAAACAAGCCCCACACTAACAAGCAAACAACAAAAACCCATGAGAGTTTAAAAGATACTTGCTTGTTTCTTCCCCTGCTACTCCAGAACAAAGTCTCAGCAAGTCACTGATTCAAAATCTCTGGGAGGAGCAGGTGACCGCAGCAATGGCAACGCAAACAGCACTCTGTATTCTGAGTTTGGATGCCCAACAGCACCCAGGAAGAGTCAGCAGCAAGAACAAAATCCTGTAGGCCAACACAGCTCCATCTTCTGCTGGTGCCTGGAGTTTGCCTAAGATGACTGTGTGCAGGCAGAGCCCAGGCACAGCAGGGCCGTGGCACATTGCAGCACCCACATGGTCACCTCCTGGCCACTCTCTGCAACATCCCCTTCCCCCCTCCTGCACATTCACCTCATAGAACGAACACACTTAAAGAACACTAAAGTTAATTACCAAACTTTGAAACCTACATTCTCTATTCCATTCCCCCCATCCCCCTTTGGTTTTTTTTTTTTAATTCTTCTTTTCCTTGCTCCTTGTGCTTGCTGTGGACTGCACGATTCTCATGAGAATGAGATAACCATTAGGGCAGGCAGCACACTGAATTCCTAGCTGCCATGGCTGAACTGCTACCCAGCACCTCAGAAAGAGGAACTAATGCTACCTAGCACACAGCAGGAGGGCACAGTCTATTCTGCAGCTGCACCTTCCTCAATCATCAGGACCTGATATACTTGCTTCCCCATCTCAGATTATCACAGCTGGTCCCTGCCACTGCAGACAGGCAGGCCAACTCTACCTCTGGAATCTTTTCTTCCATCTAGGCTGCAGTTAAAAATAAGCACATACAAAAACTCTTACTTTCTGATGGAAAGGATAGCAACAAGACACTTGCTGGCTTAACTGGTCACAGCTCTCACTGAGAGGCAGCCATCAGCTTGGCTTTGTGGGAAGCTTCGCAGTGTTACTTCTGTTGGATCCAAATGGTTGTCTTGCTGTGAGCACAACTGCTGACAATTGGGTAATATTTGGCAAGAGGTCTGGCATTGCCAGTGGGACACATGCACAGATAAAAGCAGTTATGAGTTTATATACTGACTTGTCATGCATCCATTCTCTTATTGTGATACTGAAACAGGCACAGAAAACTTAGTGTCATAAAACGAAGTTCATCTAAGGAAAGGAAAGGTGCAAGACCGCATTCAAGGCTGCTGGATGACAACAGTGTCATCTTGTCATTCACCCATGGTGCTTGGTGATGTTAAAACTACAGTCTGGGAAGCTTGATTGATCTGTTGCTTTACTGTCTTATTCTTTCAATAATTTCTAGCACACAAGCACATCATGAATCAACGCTGAGACAAAACCTTGGATGTGACAACCAGATAAGCCTTCCAAAAAGAGCAAGGTGTGCTTAATTCAATTGAACTCAGAACTTCGAGTATTTTCTTTTTTAATGAAGCTTTTACAACTCAGAGGATTGCAATTGCAATGTTCTTTCCAAGCTACTGAGAATGATTTGTTGTAAAGAGCCCAAATTAAAATGGGTGGAAGAAAGGAACTGAAGTCAGTTTCAGCTTTAGATTTTTCTCTGCCAGCTTTTCCTCAGTTGCTGCCCATGCTGCCTCAAACAGCAGAGCCTTCCACAGATACCAACCACAAGCGTTCCACGGCTCGCTCCGATTGGTACAAAGCCAGCAGATCCAGTATCACATCAGGCACGTCACACCTTCCTCAAATTCTTTTTCATCTGCAAAAAACATTATAGAGAAGAGGGAAGATTATACAGCATTATAGATCTGATGGCCTCTCAGAGGCTTCCCAGACGTGATTTTCTCAGGCAGCTCCCTGAGCCATACTGACAGGAGGACAGGGTTCAGAATCAGGTCCCTGCAGCCGGCTCCCAAAGGCTCACACAAACCAGCCAACTGAGCTTTCTGTATGCTGCCTTAATTTCATAAGGCTGTTTTCTTAACAAGATCTCATGTTTTATTTGGTAGGTCATAATGTATGCTACAGAGTCACAACCTACATACAAGTTCCACTTCTATAGCCAGAAGAGGCAGTCATGCGTCAGAGACATGCTACTTATCCTCTCACTGCAGCACTTTGGGTCCCCATGGAGCCTTGACAACCTCAGCTGCTCCACCAACCACTTTTCTATCACCAAGTGAGCCACAACTACCAAAGGTCAGACTTCCTCGTTTTGACCTGTGGGAATGAAAGGATAACACAGCATTTCATTACATCAGGGAGATAAAACTCACGTTGGTTTCCCACTTACTACTACAGCCAACTGTGCACACTATTTGTTGCCATTCTGTTTCAGATTTTATTTCCCTTTATATCTATTGATGAGATCTTTATTACGAATTTATTAGCCTTTACAAAAAGGATCTTTTAAACTTTGCAGCTGAGGTGTCTGTGAAGTCAGTCTGATGTGCTGTAACATGGGAAATGATTTCACATTTGCTGTATGATTAACTGGAAGATGCCATCAGGGCATCACCACTTCATCTTCATGAAGACACATTCAGGGCAGCAGCAGAGCCCAATGTGCACTTTCTCATGTGTAGCAATGCAAGCAGTCCCAACGGAAAACTCACAGAGATGCCTGCTTCTCCACTCATCCATAAACCAAATGTTTCATTTAAGCCACCTGACTTCTCTCCATCAGAAGGAAAAAGTGCCATTAAATGAATTCTCATGTGCCAGCTTTGATTTTGTCACAATGGATAATGGATCCAAAATTCTTTCTCTACACATCACAGCTACCTTGTGGACATTCCTAAAATTGTAATCGCCCCCACAAGAACACAAAGCCATGAACAAAAATGTCCTGTTTTATCATTTCAGAAATCTACTCAAACATAGATGAAATTCATCTTAAACAGCCTCGGAGAGAACACTGTCAGCATAAAGATCTGTGTGAGTGACTACTAAGTGAGAAGCTCGAGGAAGAGGAACAGCCTACATTTTCTTGAAATGAGAAGTTAAACATGTTTTTAGAAGGTTATAGGAAGACGGGCCTAAAAGAAGATTAAATTTAAGGTCTAGCAAGTAATTTATTTATGAAAGAACTTGAAAACTATAAGAAAATAATCCACACAACATTTACTGCAGGGCCAGGTCAGCAGGGCCGACGTGTTTGTCTGGAACTGTGCTACCACAGCTACAGTTCCCAACAACCAAACCCGTGTCTGCAATACCTGAAATGCTATCCTGCAATCAGAGTGCACTCGTATTCTGAGGTCCCTCCTGACTTTTGTTTTATTACTGTCAGTAACAAAAGATAAGGCAGCTTATGACTGCAGCTCAACAGCCATTCTCAGCTCCTACTGATTAGTATTTGACTGAAAGATGCTCACGTTCTTAAAGAATCTGCCCCAAAATACCGTAAGCAGCTGCCAGTTTCACTCTCTGACAATAACCCCCATGAAGCTGCTTTAGTGAAAGTGTTGTGTATTAACTGGCTGCACTGTTTATATTGCTAGCAGCAATGTTGATACTGTAACAGGTCATTGCCAGTTAAGTAAAACACAAGTTCATGTTACCACCAGTTACTTATTTTAACATTGACATTGGTAGTATGGGTAAATAGCAGTATTTTTCAGTTAGGAGAACTGTACTTCAAATTGATGCCACCACTAATGGAAATATGAAAGCAAACCACTTACACTGAACAGATACCTGGGTGAAGCATGAGCAGAGAAAGCACATCACCTATCATTAAGCTTGCTGCCAGCTTCCGTTAGAAGAGATTGTTCTCCTGTTGGTAACAACTGCTAAATTTTAGTTGCATTATGTTCTATTGTGCCTACTTCATGCTCAGAAAACCAAAATGGCTCAGGAATGTTTCAATTGCTTGCAAGAATGAGACCAAAAAACCACAAAAATCACCAAAATCAATCAAACAAACAAACAAAAAAACCCTAACAACAAAATCAAACCAAGCTACAAACAAACAAAAGCAGTGAATCAGAAATAAACGTGTCAGCTCCTGCTCCCCTCCCCGCCTGACATTTGGCAGACACCTCGTCCTTGCAGATCCATCTTATGCTGCTCACATGAAAAAAGGGCTAAGTACGAATGGATTAAGCTTAAGCCTTTGCAAATACAGCTCCATATTTTCAACAGAAGCTCTTCAGAGCTTTCCAGGTGAATTACCAAATATTATGTTCTCACCACACACTCACAAGCCTCTCATAGATCCTACTACACACAGGTCGTGTTTCCCTTGCATGTTTCTTTCTGCTGCTTATTTTCTTCTATCACATGTCACCACGTACATTTTAAGTGATTCTTTTACCTATTATCCTCTCCATTGGAATCTCAAGTACAGAAGCCTGTGCAGTGCCTGCATCTCAGCCTTCCAACCAATGACACGGGCAGGGGCTCAGAGGGCAACACAGATGTGCATTCTCAGAAGGGTTAAAGCCACCAAAATATTTACCACCAAAGTCTATACTTAAGGAAATCTTTCTAAGATTGTAAAGCCAGGTGCCCAGGTGTGAGGGAAGAAATGATGGATGACATATTGTACACGTGTGTTAGCGTTCAAACACTATCACACTGTTAAATAATCTCTTATTTAATTCTCTCTTCTCAAGGCAGTCACGTATTGCTGCATACGAATTTACATTGGGCATCTGCTCCATTTGCTGAAGAGCTGAAAAACACACTGGGAAAGGAAAACTGTGCCAGCTCAAGGTCATAAGAACCGAAGAATCCACATGAGTGCACATCCTCTGGGCATCACCAGTTGTGATGAATGAGGATGGGGAAGGGCAGAGATCAAGAACTCATGTAACACAAGCCTAAGTTCTTCACAAGCACTTTTCAGATGCTTGTTCCTCATCATCCTCAGACCACCTCTGGCACAAGAGGTCTGATTCAAAGAAATATAAAGCTATCATAACTAGATTCAATGAAAACTATGTTTGGAACGGGCCATGTAAATCCTCTTTGAAAAATCAGGTTCCGAATGTTAAAAATAAAATTAAAAAAATCAGTAATTTTTTACTTTAATGTCTCAAAAATGACCTTCATCTCTAAAATCTCACTGCAATATGTATAATGAAAATAAATTGATTAATGTTTTGTAAAACATTCAGAGACTTCAATAACGACTCAAAAGCCATGACAGACCACGGTTCCAACTTCAGATACAGATCATAAATTACTGACAAAAACCCAAAATAATCATATAATGAAAAAGTGATGTTCACTTGAGCACCACCCAGCCTTTCCAGGAACTGCTTTTATGAAGAACATATTCAGAAAGCGAGCAAACTGAAGTTCTACAGGCAACATTCAGTGGGGCACATCTGAATTCTGAGTGCTTGTCCTTATCCCTGATTCTTAAACTAGGATATGTTGATAAAAACCCAAACTGTAACCTCACTGCAGTTGTGCTGTCTGAGAAGAAGGCCACAGGCCAGCTCTGCAGTGAGGCTGCAAATGCAGGCAGCTCAGAGCAGCAGCTGGCTGATGTACCTCACCTGCTAGTGCTACCTTTTCTTTTTGATTAAATAAAAGCTTCTGGCCTACAGTTCTTACACTCTGAATATGTAGCGTTCACAATCCAAGAAATAAGCATCAGTATTTTGACTGTTTTATTTTTCCCCCAGACAGCAATTCACTAACACAGGGCTGGGTAAGCAACTGCAAGATTTCTTTTTTTAATTGGAGGAACAGCAAAATTAATTTTGAAAGCTTCTTCTGTCAAGGCTGAAAGTCTTTGTACCAAACTTCATCCTGGAGTGGTATTTTCAGCTGTAAAATAGGGGTTTGTAATGGAAATGCTGACAGGCCCATAATTACAGCAGCACTCGCGGGCACCACTATAGCGGGCAATCAGATAGGCGTACCACCTAAATTCAGGGCAAGGTATCAGAAAAGTTCGTGTCTGTCCTCATTAAAGCAGCACTTAACATTCCTTTAAACCTCTGGCTCAGACTATTAATTTGATGTTCAGAAGGACACACACTGGTACCAATGCTCACAGTGACTGCAGCCCCTCAGTACTTCAAACTGAATCAGAGGATCACCCTGATGTTGAAGGCAATAGAAACTGCTAGAAGTTCTAAGAATAATGAACACTTTATTTTACAGGACAAACTGAAGTCACAGGAAATAATATACAAGTGACACATTCATTCCTGTGTTCTGTAGTGTTTTAAAGCTTCTTTTTATATCCAAACCTGCACTGATATGTCTGTGATGCAATTACACCTAGCATACCAAGGAGACTCTGTTCCCTGGGCCTTCCTTGATAGTCATGGATATTAGTATGATTGAATGGTATGTTCATAGCCTATATGGATTTTAGTTTTCTTAATCCCAAGAAAAATCATTAAATTGGTGACATGATTCCAACATGCACAGTAATATTCTGAATGTTTCAATAATGTAGAAATCCACAAGTTTCACCTGAGCGTGTATTCTGTAATAAAATCCTGTTTTCCTACAGAGGCAGAAATACTAGCAGCATTACTTCCAGCCATGTAAGCTATTTCATGATTCCAAGAGACCCACTCCTATTTTCCTCAAAAATAACAGAAAGGGTGAATTTACCAGAAGGAGTATTTTTTGGAGCAGTGCTTTCCTGAAACAAGTCCTTTTTCAAGCATAAAAAGTTTCAATAAACCAAAATAACAGCAATAAAAAAAGCATGCATCACATTCAGCACAAATCTAGGCATACAGCTCTTATCAGGTACAGGAGAGAACAAACGTCACGTTCCACAGA